TATATATTAATTATATAATTATACTTTCCCACAATTCGAAAAATAATTCCTGTAATACAAAATATGCTTAGGTTAAAAGTATACTTTCCAATTTTTATTGTATTTGTTCATTTTTTGTTGGTATCTATAAAGATTCATTATTTATAATCAAGATCGAAAATATGTTTTTTGTCGACGCACCAAATCACGTCTAGCTTTTGCAATACAGTGTAAGGCAATTAGCAAATAATTCGGGTGAAGATCTGCGTCCTTTACTATCCACCTACATAAAAATGCGTAAACATATGCTTTCTGTTTTTCAAACCCACGTAACTCTGTTAAAAAAAGGACAAAAAATCATCCCCTTTTAGAGGATTTACAGTTTGGTAAACAAAAAGCATACTAACCTTTAAAAACATGCAAGGCATACCTTTCATATTTTTTTTGCAATAAAAATATTATTTTAATTTTAAACTTTCTGCACAGGAGAAAATAATATGTAAACAATATTTTACAAAACAAAAATCTGGAAAACTTGAAAGTTTAGTCACTGAGAGAAACTGGTGTAGGAAGGATGTTATTGTATAAGGCACAATTTCTAAAAAGTGAACACGTTGATCCTACAATTTTTCACACTTTACTCGATAAAAATGACACGTCATTGAATAAAAAATTCGAAAAAAAGTAATAAATTTGAAAATTTTGAAGAGTTTGATAAATATAAGGTCCATACAATATTCGATAAAACTTAGTCTATAACAGTACCTTATAAAATTAGTCGTATTTAAAGAAAAAATGTTTTTCTTTCAAAATCTTTCAAATCTCTTTAGAGAAAAACGTTCTAAATTTGAACAAGATCGGTGCATTATTTTTTGAGAAATAATGCACCCTAATTTCGAAAACTGAACTTTGAGGAAATTGTATTTCCTATTTTATTTGAACTTTAGCTTTTAGGGGTTATAATAAGAAAAATTTTCATAGTTTTTACTTTTCTCCAAGAATTTTTACTTTTATTTAAAGATTTTGTGAAATTAATCTTGACATGTTGTATTATTGCACTCAAATTAAAAAAATCATATATCTTATTGTTGCAGAAAAAATTGTTACTGAGACCGTATAGTTACTTAATTTTTGATTATTTGAAAATGTAAGTAAACTGAAAATATAAGAATTAATACTTGAAAAGCGAAAAGAGGACAAATTTGTAACTTTTTAACTTTCAGACTTCAACTAAATTCCAAACATAAGTTTTCAAAATTATTTATTGTTAGATGAATGTGTCGAATAATAAATAGTAAAATGTAACCGAATTCACCCAATTTGTGATATTTTTAAAAGTAACAAATTTGTCTTCCCTATTTTTCTAATATTAAGGATGTTCTCTTAAATTTCTTTCGCCAGGTGAAATTAAAAAAAATAAAAATCAATTTTCTTACTCTAAGTAAATTTATAACTTTAATTTAGATTATCACACATTAACTTGTTTTTTAGATAATGACCTTTTAAATTTTATTTATATTTGAAATTCCAACAACTTAAATAAAACGACAAACTGATAATAAAAGATGACTACACAAATTTTAACACGTATTAAGCAATACAATAAATTTCTACACATATTTGGATTAAGAACGTTCTTAAATGAAGAAATTCGTAGTAGAAAAATAAAATATAAGAAATTTAAAAGCATATCAAAAATATTGGCAAAAGAAATAGAAAGTAGATTTTAAAAATCTAAGCTTTTCTACATAAGAACTCACATTTTAATTCATAATTCAAACATAATATGAAATTCTTGTTTAATAATCATTAAGCCAAAATGCTTAAATATCTACTTTCATCACTTAAAATGCATTTATACTCAATTCTTCATTTCATATAGTAGTTAAATACATATGTATCAGGCTAGAACTAAAGATCACAATATAAAATAAATTATACTTGAAATAAATTACTAAGAATATGGGAAAAGTCGAACCTAATGAAGTCTCACCAAGAAAATTAATTTTTATGAAATTTGATTTTGAACATGTGTGCGTTATAATAGAATAATATTTTTTTACATAATATATTCCTGCATATGTCTCTAAGACAAATTGTCTTGGTAGTACTATGTAATTTCAAAAACAAGTTCATTTACTCAATTATTTATTAATTTACTTGAAAAAACTGTAATAAATTTGTAAGATTTCAGTAATTTTAATGCTAAAAATACTTTTTGTTAGCAAATTTTGGAAATTTTGTACTTTTTTTTGTTGATATTTTGTATATTGGTTTATGCTTCTTAATTGTAGGTGCTAACTGTAATTTAAAAGAGATTGTTTTTTTCCCATCTTTTTTCATCTATTATAGAGTTCTTGTCTTTACATTTAAGACACTTATTTACAGTTTAAAATGCTTTTTTTTAAATTTTATAACTCTTTTCGTACTGGATCAATTTATGTGAAATTTTCTTAGCGTTTTTGCCCTTATATTTCAAGTTTGTTCATCTATATTATGTATGTAAAGGTGTCAATCAATTTTGCTTCCCTGCTTCATTAACTTGAAATTTTAGCATGTAACATTTATTTCATTATTTTTAATGAAAACTCAATTTAAATCTCTTTTAATATTCTAATCGATAAGTACATTTAGAAAATAATTAATAACTTTAAGAGACAAGTTATGTGCAATACATAAATTTAGAAAACTAATAATGTTTGAGATTTAATTTTTAAAAAAAATTGAAATTAAATGAAATTGAGATTAAATTTCTTAAAAGCTTCATAAAAAATATTAAGTTTTTTTAAATAAAGTTTTCAAGCTTATTGTTGGCTTATTCCTTAAGGAAATGTTGATAAAATTTTTAGGTAGTAAGAATTCTGGCTCAAGTAAGGATTTTTCCACTCTTTTAAATAAATATTTTTTTTATAGAATTAATTTTTGATGCGATTAACTTTTGAAGTAATTTTTCGGATTCTTTTGGGACATTTAAAATTAGGGTAGAAACCAGGATTTAACCCTTTCAGAATCGTGGTCACATATAGCTGATCACGTGATTCACAGCAGGCAGTATCACATAGGAAACGAGCTTTTCTAACTCTAGCGGCTCAAGATCACGCGTATTCTCAGATTACATCTTGTATTAGTACGTATGCATACACATACTGATCATACGTATGAATATTATACGTAATCATGAATTAGTTCTCTCCTTTCATTGATTCTGAACGGGTTAAAAAAAATTTGATCCAGTTATTAATGAATCAAAGAAAATCTCACCTGTAGCCTGTTGTACCAGGAATCGAACCCAAGTATTCCCCGATCCAGGAAAGGAGGCCAAAGCAATCATGGGTCCAGGAGGATTACGGAACCTTGGCTGAAGACAAATATGTAGTCTTCTTCGGACACGAGGTGCTCTTCCATCATTTGTGTTAAGAACTCTGGCCACAGCAGCCCACCGTTCTTGGAATCTGTCCATTCCCAATAAGCTTGGACCAAGTCCACCCACTAGTCCAACTGGTCTTAAGACCTTCGTCCTTTCTCTGGATTCTTCAGTGAGAGCTTTTTTCACCTCATTTTGGGCACTCTGATCGATGTGCCTTGACACTACGACTATGAAGAGAACTATATAGGCAGACAGAACTACACCGATAAGTCCGTATAGAAATCGACGGAAGTATTTGGCAGTAGAACTGATAGTATAAACTCGTCTGTCTACAGCTTTTCTTCTTATTTCCATGGTTTGAACATGAGATAGTTCGTGCAAAATTTAAAGTACATGGTAAAGGTACTATATTTAAATCTTTCAGAAATGTTCGTACATATCTGTTGTAATCAATTTGAAGTTAATGGAAAGTTATTTTCATTGGTATTTATCTGAGTGTTTATTGTTATTGTCCGCATATGATTTGATTTTAAATCTGAAGTTATAGCATAACTATTTGTTACATTTTATCAAGTATAGTTACTTTTCATGCTTCATTAATAAGGTTTAATTATACATTAATTATTGATAATCAGTTATATAATTATGATTTAAATATTTAATGTTTTTTTTTGCTATTACATATATTTTAATTATTTGGCGTTAATTATAATCGGTTGTTATTTTTACTTAAATTATTTGTAATTATCATTTCTTATAGCTTTGAAAGTTCCAGACATTAAAGAACTTACTTTTTTGGGGGGTAATGGTGGACTCATTTATTTCTTAATTGTTGATTTCTTAAACTGTTTTTTTTTACTATTAATTACCTTCAATTACTGTTTTTACTTTAATTGTATGTTATTATTTCTTTCAAGATAAAAGTTTTAAAAATTGCAGAAATTAAGAAACTTATTTTCTTTGGGGAAAATTGGATACCTTTTTTAAATTATGGGGGATTTATTTATTATGCTGTACCAATTTACTATTACTTATCATCAATTACTATTTCTACTTAAATTATCAGCTATTAGTTATTTTTAATAGCCTTAAAAGTTACAAAAATTAAAGAACTTATTTTCTTTGAGGGATTTCTTAATGGCAGATTTATTTATTCTACTGTAACTTTTTGAAATTAATTATCTTCAACTATTATTTTAACTTTAATTATTGGTCATTATTTCTTTCAAGCTGAAAGTTCCAATTTCAGAAAATATAAAACTTATTTTCTTTGGAGGAAATCGTGTGCCTTTTTTTAAAGGGGAATTGTTCATTATATTGTAATTATTCGGTATTAATTATCTTTAATTATCAATTTTGCTTTAAATATTTGCTGTTAGCTATCTTTAAATAATAGTAATAGTCAGCAAATCTCTAACTTTTTTTAAATATGCTTTTGCAATATAAACTTTTAAAGAGAGAGTCTATAAATGATAATTATAATTTTGTCAAAATAGTAAAAAATTTTATAGGATTTAAATTATTCCTATTTGTTCTCTTTAAAGTGTCTTGTTCATTTCAATGCATTTTCAATTTTGCCGGTACAGTTTTCTTATTACAAATTAATCAGCACAAAATTAAAACTTGGCGTACCTTTTTCTATTTCAAAGTGGCTAAAAATATATGTCGTCACCAATGAAACAAAAATGAAATAACTCTTTCAATTTTTCAAAACACGCTTCAACAGATGTTTACCTTCTGCACAAGTCTAGCATCATTTTTTTTTCTCCTCTGGTCCACTCTCTTCTGTTTACAATTGCCAACCATCAAGAGTGACATAAGCAAAATAAGGGAAAGTTTCATCGTGATGACAATTTGGCGATGACAATGAGTGAATAGAGCGCCATTGCTGTTTCTTTCTTGAGAGTATGCCAAAGAACATAAAACGGCCGAAAACGGTTCGATTGAACGCGGAGCACAGGAGCAGCGGGATTTTGGAGGAAGATGGGGAGACGTCAGCACCCTCTGCCGGGCATCCTCTCAACTAAATTTCTTTTCAACCTGGTGAAAGGGATTGTGCATATATATAAGGCTATTTTTTTGGAGGTTAGAGAGTAATCGTTTGATGCTTTTAAGAAATTTGGCAGATTTTAATATCATTAATTTAATACATTTAAACATACATGAAGTGAAATCGTCACCTTTATATTTCAAAAGATTATTATTATTATTATATCTCCCGAAAAATATAATAATAACTTACGGTAACTTTAAGTATTAAATTTTAGGAATTAAAAACTTTTCTTTTTAATCTTGCCATTATACTTTTTTCGACTATTTTTTAAGAAAAAAAAAAACTTTTTGATTTTTTTTTTATTAGCTATTATTTTATAATTATTATTAAAATGAACTTTATTTTTAATTTTACAACCTTCATTATTTTTAAATCTTTAAAATTTTTTGAATTTACTATCTTTAATTATTATTATTATTTTTTTTTTAATTTTCTCTCATCGAGCTTTACAATTCAAAATGAAATAAACAAATTCAAGAATAAAGAATTCATTTTTCTCTGATAACCATTTTCAGTGTTTAGATTAGTTCGTTTTTAATAAGTATAATTAAGATTCTTTTATTCAGTTTAAACTTATACACATGACAAAAACTACTAGACTAAAAGCCGCTGCAAATCTGCGAATTCAACTGCTGTTCATAAAAGCAAATTTTAAGACTGTTATTGATAGAAAAATGAAAACTTAAATTATTTCATAGTTTCTTTTTCGTGATCTTTTCGAAGTCTTTTTCGCTTTTGGATTTTATTCGTATATTCGTAGTTTTTTGGTAAAACAATTCTCAGCTGCTTGAGAACTTATTTTATGAAGTCGGGGTTCCGCTAAAACAAGCTCGATCACCTAGGGTTCCATTTTATTTTATTTTATAACCGTCGTTGAACAGCCGACCCAATTTTATGGGTTTGCAATTATTTATGTTCAATTCCGTAGCCTTTTAATTTTTAACCCAGTCCAAAAGATAAGAGAACTCCTGGATCAAGTATTGGGAGAAATTTTCCATCGTTGTGGACTTTATGATGGAACTAACCCGCATTTGCGTTACATGGAGAGGAAAACCACGTTAACCACCAACGGTTAGCCTGGCGCCAAGGGGACTCTAACCAATGATTTCTCCACCACTGAGGATATTTTACGTCAGCCCTGGGGTCAGTGCGAGTCGGGTGCGGAATTCAACCAGCCATTGCTGGGATTCAAACCCGGTTCACCTCATTGGAAGGCAAATGCTCTATCCCCTGAGCCACCACACCTCTTTAGGGTTTCATAAAAAAATTATAACAGTCGTTGAACAGCCGACCCAATTTTGGGTTTACGACTACTAATGTTCAACTCCGTAGCCTTGTAATTTTGAACCAATCCAGAAGACAAGGAAACTCCTGGATCAGTACCCCCAGAGGTATGATTTGTTACGGGAACATGGAGAACTTTTTGACTTGACAGATTTAACGTGCATCAGTCACTATTGACAACACGGGGAGTCTTCGGCCGGCGGAGATTGGACCCACGACCTCTGGGAACCGCTGGTCTGGATGGTTCTGTCAAGACTAATATATGGACATCAGAAATTTCTTAAATTTGACCATGACCGTTGAATCCTAGTCAAAGAAAATTTCACAGGTGCTGGAATCAGAAACATTTACTCAACTCGGACTCTGGTTAGCTAAAAATGAGATTCTCTGTACGATAAAAAGAAGAGTAATAAAGACGAGTAAGAAATGAAGAAAGTAGATAAAAAAGAAGAGTTTTTTTTGGTCTTTAAAAGCCAACATTTATTGTTATGTAAACAAAAACATTAGGCGAGTGAATTATATGACAATTACTGTGAATGTGAGTGAGGGAATAAGACTTTCCCCCAATTGATGGGAATACAACACCTCCCAATTCACTCTTGAGCCTCTTCTTTCCTGCTTGGAACTCGTTAAAGAGGATTTATATCTGAATCCCATTCTTCTCAGTTTATGGCCTCATGGGTCTGGTCTAACGCAATATCTAACTAACCAGTTAAGATTTGCAACAACAACAGTTTTATATTTGATACCGATAGGGGTGGGGAATTTTATTTTTTGATAACTTTATAAATTTGTATAAAAATAAATAGAAAGCTGATTCAAGCTTATTTATTTTTAATGTAGTGGATATAGCGTGGAAAATATTGTTACTTAATATTAAAAAAATATGTATACATATTAGGTTGGCAACTAATTTCCCTCTGTTTTTTTTTTTAATTTTCTAAAGTTTTAAGTGTGGGAGCATTTAATTTTTTTTGTCAATTTCCTTGGCATTTGAAGCAATTTTTAGTGAAAAAATCTGCTTATCGCTCTTCGTCGAACTTAACTAGAACAAAGAGTCTTGGTTAAAATTTCCATTTTTAAAAAATGAGATTAAAATTTCCATTTCTGAGCTTAGAATGCACATCATGAATGGTTCTCTCAGCTATAGCATCCTTTTCATGCGCAGCACAAATGTCACGAGCAGTTTTTCTCGCTTTAAAACCATGATTGAAATCAAAGGAAAGAAGGTGTAGAAAATGCTCATTTTTCTCTATTTGATATTCCAATTTAATTAACTGAAAATTAACGCAGAAAAGCAAAAAATAAAAAATTATAAAAACTTATGAGTCTAGTAAAACAATCTTTCGCTGAAATCGAACACTTTCGTTCAAATGATTTGAAATAATAAGCCTAAAACATTTAATGACATGCAGAAATTGAAAATTTAAGAAAAGTGAAAATTTAGTTGCTAATCCAATGTTTAAAAATATTAATATTGTATGTTTTTTCAATAATGTAAATAATAAATAGTATATTTAAACTAATAAATAAATTTATATGAATTTGAAAGTGCGTTTTGATGAGGTAAAAAAGGTTGATAAACTAAAAAATGCCATTGGTCATTAAAAACGAAAGGGGTACGATATTGCGAAAGAACAATATTGTGGGGCACAAAGAGAGAAAGGGGTACAATATTGTGAAAAATTCAAAATTATAAGTTTCAGCAGAATCTAAATTTATAATTTTAAACTAAAATTTGTGAAATACATAAAAAAATAAACAATGGCAATTACATTTTATGACTAAATATAAAAGTGGTATTTTGAGAGAAACGAGATAAAAATTATTTACCACACACTAATTACGTGGCCATATTTTAAGAAATTAAATTATTTAATTATTGATTTTTCATTTGATTTACTCAATCGTTTTTAACTCATTTTTTGAGATTTATAATTGAAGAAATTGGGCTAAGAAATTCTATCATGAGCCTTAGAATACATCATTTCTTTAGGTTATCATTTCTTAAGGTTTCTTCAGGGATCTACATTCTGCAGGTAATATCCCATAGTGGTGTTTTCCCTTTTTGTTCTATTTATTTTTTAACGTCAGATTTAGTTTATTACACTGTTTGAAATCATTACTTTAAAAACACAATAATACAATTGTGTTTGGGGCAGCATTTTTTTCTTTTGTTATTAAACTCTATATTCAACCAATTTTACTGAAATGTTCTTAACTTTAATAATTATGATGAAAGTATGGAATGAGAAAAAAGAATTACAGTTCAAGGAAAAAATCTCGTTTTTTTTTCAATATTTTTTTTTTAATTGTAAACCATGAAAATTGTTT